GCTGAAAATTAAACATTTCAGGGCAGTGTAAAGTTAATTAAGTTTAATAGCTAATTAAACAAGGGAGAGACTTCCGTGCTGTGAGTAATTATCATTATTCCATTCACTTCAATATAAACACGTATCAAGCTGCAACAGAATCTCTCCAATCTGTAGGATTGCCAGGTGTCTGGTATTGTCCTGGGCAGTCCTGTATTTGTGGCCTCTGTCCGGTAAAAAAAACCCAGAAGATACCGGATATATAAAATATCCAGTATTTCCTGTTTTTCTCAGATGGAAGGCTGCTTGGGACATTCCTCCCCTGCCGGGTCTGCTGGGGGCAGGGGCTGCGAGGAGTTTTAAAGGTGCCGTTACTTGACCAATTTTTTCCCCACCATGTTTGGTATTTTTTGTGAAAGTATCTGGCAAACCCTACCACTCTGTTGCATGGGATTGCCACAGAATGCAGGGGGCTGGCTACAGAATCTAGGACACAATGGTTACAGAGCATACAAGCTTGGGTCTAGTGCTGGCTCAGACCGTGGGTTATTTCCCACAAGAGAGGTGTGAACAGAGAGCTCTCTCTAGAGTTGTTGGGGGACAAGTTGAGCGAGTTTGAAAAATAACTCTGGGGCCTGAGCACGTTTCTGTGCGCACAGCTCCCCTCGATCTCTGAAGGGACTGCTGGGTGTGTTGGTTTTTTTTAAAAGGATTTTTATTACAATAAAGCCCAGAGGCTCCAATTGAGCTCAAGCCCATTGTACCAGGACCTAGCTAAATACATATTAAGAGTTTAGCATTTATGATCCCAATCCTGCAAACATGTGCTTGTCTTCACATGCTTAAGTAATCCCACTGAGTTCGCAAAACTGAGCACTGGCTTTAGTGTTCACAGGATTGGGCTCTAAATGGACAAGAAGGAGAGGGGGGGGGGGGGAAATGTAATTTACTCAAGATCACACAGAAAACGTGTGGGAGAGCTGCACCTGAACCCAGATTTAACATTAATGCTTTCTTGGAGTTCTGCAGCTTTATTATTATTATACAGACTCCACTTCTCCTTCTTTCTACAATATTCTTTACTTCTTCATGCTCTCTGCCTGGGCCAAATTCACTTCTGGTGCAACCCCACTGAAGTCAAAGAGATTTCATCCACACGGAGTCCTCAGAGTTCCTTTCTTAGGGCTTTGTTCCCCTCTAAAGCAGCCATGGAATACTTACTTGTAAATGAGCATTTTGTTGGGGAAGACAGCAGTGTGGAGGGGACTGGGGAGTGCTAACGCCCAGCTAAGTTCCTGCAGCCCGATGCTTTGCATACTCTTAACAATTGGCTTACCTTATGCTGTGAGAATGCAGCTGTTGCTGCCATTTCCCTGTTGTTGGTGTGTGTAGCCCGCACCAAAGCCAGAATGCACACACCCATCTGGACAAACGGAAGGCCAAACAAGAGGTCCAGACAAAAACCTTAACCCAGACATTTCCCTGGTTCTAAGTGCTCCTATGAGAGCCTGGCTGCATACTGAGCTCTAGAGGAGGGCTGCATTGCAGTAGATACCTGTTGCTGTGCTTTGCCCATGCCAGCTGACTCAGACTCAAGAGGTTCAGGCTGCAATACTGTTTCACGGAAGTGCAGACTTTCCCACTCAGGGCCCAGGCTGCAGGCCAAGCCCAGCCTTCTACACTTCAATTAAACAGCCCCTTTCTCCACCCCCCACGCCCTCCTCCGGCTCTCATTGGCATAGGCCAGCCATAGGTTTTTAACTGCAGTGTAGACATAGCCTTAGAATCAGAGGGGAGCTTCAAGGCATTAGCCCCAGGGAGCTGCCAAGGATAGCTAAGGTGCTTAGCTGACCCACTTCCTAGCATTCCTTGCCAACATGCCTAGGTTTGCCAGATGGTTTCAACAAAAATACCGGACACACTTGACATTACATCACAATCTACGTTCCATCTTATTTAGAAAATACTGGACATTTATATTTTCTCAATTTGTTTCCCGAACAGGAAGCTCAAATATTGGACTGTCCAGTTCAAAACCGGACACCTGGCAACCCTAAACATGCCCCCATATCCCTCTGGCCCTATGGTCTTTTGCCAAGTTTTGATTCTGTTCATTACATTCTGCCCATAACATTTCATTTTCAATTGTGTGTGGGCTTCCCCCTCTTCCTGCACTGTTGGGTAATGTTCCTGTAGGCTCTGGAACAGCCTTTGCCCCAGAAATGGCTGCCTTTCTGAGTTACAAAGTGGATCAGTAGCCTAGCAAGCCAGGAGAGTGCTTTGGGATCCTTGGAGGTCAGACCCTGTAGAAATCAGGCATGGCTGTGGTATGAGGGTTGAGTGTAATCTTTGTTGCAATTCCTTCCCTGTGCCTTCCAGCTGCAACCCAGGGGCAGGTGTTCTCTGCTGTTAGATGCAAGTGTTCACTGATCTCACTCTCAGGCCTCTGTTCAAAGGCTCTCTTGCTTTGGGAAGTTTGCAAGGTCTGTACTGATCAAGAATGCCCGTTGTGCTGATGTGGGGCCTGAAACCAGAGCAAGCTAAAGTAGGACATCCTGGGGCCTTAGTCATTCAAAGGATCTTTGCAAGAGCATAACACCATATGAAGGGGAGTGGGTGGGCTAAAGACTTCTGTCAGAATGTACAGCATTCTGCGTACAGGGTTTTTCCTAACTCTGACTTTCTCCTCCGCTCCCTCGCTGGCTCTGCTTCCTCTCTCTCAGTGCATCTCCTCGCCTGTCAGTGTGAATAAAGCAAACTTCCCACATCCTCTAGTCTCTTTGTTGTTTTGCCCAGGAACTGCATCACATTATTTATTTCATCCTTCCTCCCCCCTCCATCAAGCCCTTGCCTCTCGTTTTCTCCTCTTGAATCTGGGTGCAAGCAAACAATATGTTTTAATACAGTTAAATGCACATGCATAAAACTAGGAACAAAGAATGCAGGCCATACTGAGAGAGTATGGGGGGCTTTATCATAGGAAGCAGTGACTGAACAAGATTTGGGAGTTGTGGTAGATAATCAGCTGAATGTGAGCTCTCAGTTTGATGTTGTGGCCAAGAGAGCTAATGCCATCCTGGGAGGTATCAACAGGGGAATATCAAGCTAGAATAGAAAGGTTTTTTTACCTCTATATTTGGCACAGATGTGACTGCTGCTGGAATACTGTGTCCAGATCTGGGTCCACCATTCAAGGATGTTGATCACTGGAGAGGGCTCAGGAAAGAGCCAGGAAAATGATGAAAGGATTAGAAAACTTTTGACCGAGCTCCATTAGTCCATCTATTTATCGTAACAAAGAGAAAGTTAAGGGGTGACTAGATGTCAGTCAATAAATATCGCGGGGAATTTCCCCTTCCTGAAACATTCAGACTTACCCCCTACATAATATTATGCAGCATGTGTTGGGTCAATTTTTCACCCCAATTAGTAATCAATCCAGTCTCATCAGAAAAAAGGTCAGAGTGTTCATACAATCCCTGATTGCTCCCTCCCCTGTCTCAAACAGGGGATAACCCCCACTGTGTTCAGTGACTGCGCAGCATGGAGAATAAGGAAGAACACAGACCAGGCAAACTCTCCAAGGTTTATTAACCTCACAAGGAGAGAAATCCCAGCAGCTCCTCATAGGCAATAATCCCCTTTGACCCAAACCCTGCAGGTTACATCTCGTCCCCAGTGTGCTCCCGCCTGGGGCCAGCACTAGGGGATGTTCAGCCACTCTCTCGTCAGGGGGTAGGCAGTGAAACATGCCCTTGGGATGGCAGCTGGGTGGGAGTAGGTGCAGCTGCAGGAACAAGGGAAGGCTGCAATGTGACTGCACGGCGGCCAGGGGGCGCGGGCGACAGAACAGCACCTTAACAATGGATACGGTGCCAGTAGTTACCGTATTTTCTGGCGTATAACACGACTTTTTCCACTAAAAAACATCCCCCAAAAATCGGGGGTCGTCTTATACGCCGGGCATAGAACGTACCTGTGCTGATACTGGTCCCCAACACGGTGCTTGGGGCTGGCCCCGGGCACATGGCGCACAGTGAGCGCCGGCGGGGGGAGCGCCGGGCACGCGGCGCTTGGCGGTCTGGAAAGGTTCTCTATAACAATATGGCTTTTCTGTAACCCTGTTGGAAGCCCTGTAACTATTCAGTAGATCTAAAGCAGTGGTCTCCAACCTTCTGTAAGTGGGTGGGTAGAAAAGACCCCATCATGGCTCCAACAAGAAGAAGGAAATTTGAAGCCAGTTTTAAGCTGAAAGTTGTAAAGTTTGCCAAGGAACATAATAACTGTGCTGCTGCAAGGCAATATGGAGTAACAGAAAAGATGGTCCGAGACTGGAAAGCAAATGAAGATGCATTAAAGAGTATGCCAAGTAGTAAGTGTGCATTAAGAAGAAGCACCCCACATTGGTCAGAACTTGAAAAGCACGTAGCAGACATGGTGCATGAGCATCGTCAAAATGGTTATGTAGTGACACGAAACAAAATACGTATGTTTGCACTTCAGTGGGGCAAATCTAACCCAGATCACAGCAAAGGATTTAAGGCCACTGTATCCTGGTGTACTAGGTTCATGGAAAGGCATAATCTGGTACTGAGGCAAAAGACCAAAATTGCACAAAAATTACCTGCAGATCTCGATGGCAAAGTAAGTCTTTTCCATCGATATGTAATACAACAGCGCAAGAAACATGGCTATGTGTTAAGTCAGATCGGAAATATGGATGAAACTCCTATGAATTTTGATATGGTTGGAAATAAAACTGTTAATCCAAAAGGTGCAAAAACAGTGTTAATTAAAACAACAGGACATGAGAAGTCCAGTTTTACAGTGGTACTAGCATGTACAGCTGATGGCGCCAAACTAAGACCAATGATTATTTTTAAAAGAAAAACAATGCCGAAAATCAAGTTCCCTGTTGGAGTTTTTGTGCATGTGAATGAAAAAGGCTGGATGGATGAAGAAGGGGTAAAGCTATGGCTTGATAATGTATGGAGTAGGCGACCAGGTGGACTTCGTCAAGAACGTAGCCTACTGGTGTGGGATATGTTCAGGGCTCATTTAACTACCAGCACAAAGAAAAGGCTGGCAAGAATAAACACAGATGCGGCAGTTATTCCTGCAGGATTGACATCATTGGTACAGCCACTGGATGTGTGCCTAAACAAGTCATTTAAAGATCGCATTCGAGAACAGTGGAATGAGTGGAAGGTTAGCGGCGAAAAGTCATTCACAAAAGGAGGAAACATGCGTGCGCCACAATTGGATGTTTTGTGTAACTTTGTCATAAAAGCCTGGAATGATATTGGTGCAGAAACAGTAATCAAGTCTTTCAAGAAGCGTGGCATATCAAATTCTTTGGATGGTATGGAGGACGACTTCTTGTGGCAAGATGAAGGGGAAGCCAAAGCTGAAGCCACACCATCTGATTCGGAATTAGATCCATATGATGACTGTCTTACAAATGTACCACAAGATGTCATTGATGAACTTATGATGTCAGAGGATGAACATGATGAGGATTTTGAAGGATTTTAAGCACCTGCAAGTCAAAACCATTTTAATTAAAATTATTTAAATCAAATCTGATCTTATTAAATGGTGTTGCCTCAGAAGGCGGGGTAGTCTTATCCGGCGAGTATAGGCCAAAACCTATGTTTTAACTGGAAAATTAGGGGGTCGTCTTATACACCCAGTCATCTTATACGCCGGAAAATACGGTATCAGAGAGGCCCATTTCTTAAGGCAGATCTCCCTCATCATTCCATCCCACTAGCCAGTCTAGTTCCCACACGCGCCTTGCAGCCACTCGAGATTTCCACGAAGACAAAGGAGGATTAGGACAGTAACAGGGAGTAATGATTAAACTAAGCCTGCTTTGCTGGCACGGGTGCAGTTGCTTGCTGTCTTCTCCCCACAGCCTGATCAGGACCAAGTCACCCTTTCTTGCCTATAGCCTCATCTTGCCAGCAAACTTTGCAGCCTCCTTCAGTCCTCCAGTGTTGACTACTCCTCCCATTGTGCACAAGGGGCAAGGAGCAGCTTGGGATATGTTAGACTGGCTGACCAGTAGAGCCTCTGGAAAAACAAGACCCCCCCCCAGACAAGTCTATAACATCACTGAGTGACAGGTGCTTCACCTTTATGCCAGAAGTCACTCCACAGAGCATCTAATGTGCTTGCAAAGAGAGCAGTGTAAGCACACAACAGGGCAAGGTAGGAAGTAGGACCCATGCAGCCCTTTGCTCTGGCTGGCTGTGGGGAGTGGACACCACCCCTCAATAGATCTTTCGGCATCAGATCATGAGGGAGGGAAGAGACAGTGGTTTTTGTGGCTCACAGTGGCAAGATCAAACTAGGAACACTGCACTGAATTCTGGGAATCAAAGTGCCCCTGAAATACTGACAAATTGGATGCAGGTCAGAGAAGGCCTGGAGGGAATTACATCTAGCTAAACAGCAATCAAGGGAAGGAAAACTCAATAGACTCTTAGCTATTTGTACGGTGTAAACACCAAAGAATCAGAGGAATTATTTAGGGTGGAACAAAGAGGTGTTGCTAGGAATGATGGGATGAATTTAGAAAGGAACCAAGGACACATATCAGGAAACACTGATGGTAAGATGTACTAGCCTTAGTAAGAGTCCCAGGAGAAGAGGTGGAAGCTCCATTGCTTGGGATGTGTAAAATTAGACTGGACAAAGCCTTAGGAAGTGTCCTGTGGGTAATAACCGTATTTGGTCCTTGTGGAGGGAAGAGAATGATTTAATAAATCAACAGAGCTTTTCCATCTCAAACTTCTATAAGTCTAGCAGCACGTGTGGGAGGGGACACTGAGACGTAATAAAACCTAGTTTTCCATCTTTTTACTGGATATAAAATAAATCATTTTAATAATAGTGACTGTGATAGAATTAATATAAATAAATTACTGATGTGCACTGCTGGCTTCCTTGCAGTTGGGGTTTTGGGCTGGAACTGCAAACAAGGCCTCTCTGTTACAGAATGCCATTGCTGGGGAAGGAGGATTAGCACTGGAGCATGGCCTACACCTGCTGGGAATTACTAGAATAGAGAAACAAAATACAGGACTATGTAGCACTAACAGGATGGTTTATTAGTCTTTAAAGTTCTACATAGTCCTGTATTTTGTTTCAGCTACACCAGACTAACACGGCTACATTTCTATCACTAGAATAGAGACGATACACAGGCAGGGAAGAAATTTCACTGCTTGTAACATCAGACACATTGCCCCAGTTTTTCCAGGGATGGAGGGTTTGTGTGTGCACACACACACACAAAGTATTCCCATACCTAGCCCAAATTAAATCACTAACTCTCTTTGCACACAGCCAGGGCTGCCCCTAGGGGAGTGTGGAGACTGAGATAATGCCCTTCCCATAGGTGCCGACTTCCCCTCTAGCCAGGGGGTACTCAACCCCCTCTCCGCCCTCACTCTACCCTTTCTCCCAAGCTCTCACCGCACCTCTTCCCACCCCTGCTCCAATTCCACCTCTTCCCCCAACCCCATGTCCCACCTCTTCCCACCCCCATCCTTCCTCCTTCCCTCAGTTAGCTGTGTCCCTGCTCTTCCCCCCTCTCCCTCCCCGGAACACCAAGAACACGGCAAAACAGCTGTTCAGGAGACACTGGGAGCAGGAAGAGTTGGTCAGTGAGGCTGCTGGCCAGTGAGATGCACTGGAGGGAGGGGGTGTTAGGCTGCCAGTGGGTGATGAGCACCTGCTAATTTTTCCCTGTGAGTGCTCCGGCCCTGGAGCACCCACGGAGTCTGTACCTAGGCTACAGCCTGTGTTTTCAAATGGGGTATGTTAATGTTGTTTATCTCAATTTTCCAGTAGAAGCAGCGATGCAAAATGAATTGCCACCCACATAGTCACCCAGAGGGTACTCCCCCTACACAATTAAGCCTAGAATTGAAAATGTAGGCTTAAATGTGAGGGGAAATATTTCCTGGCAGATTGCAAACCACAGACATATGCAGAGAGCTTATCAAAGGGTAGGGTGACCTGACACTCTGGTTAATCTCAAGAGGGAAGTTCAGATCCTTGCACCCCAATATGTGGGCAGTGCCTTACACTAGATCACATAGTGAATGGTGTGGTATCATACTGTACACGGTGATAAAACTCCTTCCTCTTTTCCTTGCCACATCCTTTCAATACAGTGCCCAGAGCAGTGGGAATCCAGTCCTTTTCCCAGTGATAATGCAGCATCTGGTTCTCCTATTTCTCTTATTTTTACATTTGCATGCTCCTACTTTCTGAATTTCCATTGGTGGATTCCGCTGCTCCCACAAGAATGACTCAGGTAAGTGCCTGAGAAGGGAACGATCAGAAAGAAGCCACGGCTGACACTGTTAAGGTGAGCCATCGCTGCAGTGCAGTTTCCTAGTGGCTACAGCGTTCCATCAGCTCGCAGATGCAGGGGCGGAAGGGTGGCTCCCTCATTAAGAGTTTCTCCTCTTGGTTTATATTATCTGCAGTGGACAGTCAGCAGGCCCTGAGATCTTCCTGGTGAGGTCATAGCCAGTGGGTTGCCAGTTGTTACAGAACTTTCTTCAGCCAGCAGTCCTGTCTGAGCAGAGATAGTGGCGTCCTGTAGCTGATGTGCCCATACCTCGGGAAGATGGGTGTCGTCAGCATCTTTCCGCAGTGGGACCTGGCCGCACTTGGCATTCTCTTCCTGGACCTGGGTGACCTCAGTGTTCCCTCCATACACACCTGCAGCATTGTTGATTAAGCCGCTGGCCACATTGGTCACATGGATTTTATTGCCCGCTCTCTTCTTCCTGCTCCTGTTCTGGAAGAGGAGGCAAGTGAAGACCTGCTTGAACTTCTTGCGGAAATGCTTAGAAATGAGGGCATAGACGATGGGGTTGAGGCAGGAATTGGCATACGACAGGCAATGGGAGGCCAGGCGACAGGCATAGGTGGCTCGGTTGAATGGGAAGTGACCAAACCAGAAACATAGGATGACCAAGTGGTGAGGCAACCAGCAGAGGCAAAAGAGTATAGCCACAGCCACAATCATCTTGGTGACCTTGCGCTTGGCTTTACGGGACTCTGAGATTCTCTCGATGGGGTCTACGGAGGTCCACAGGAACTTGATGGTCCTGGCATAAGCCAAGCTCACAACAACCACGGGCAGGAGGTATCCAAACACAAAAGTGAGGATGTCCAGGATCTTCCGGCGTTGGTCCTCCCAAATGGGGATGCAGATGGGCACCCCGTGGTAGTGGACAATCTGGTAGTAGCTGAGGTAGGGCCCTGCAAAGAGCAGTGATAGGGTCCAGATCACTATGATGGCGACAGCTGCGTTCCGGGAGGTCCGGAGATCCCGAGATTTCAGCGGGTAGCGAATGGCCAGGTACCTGCAGGGTGGGGATAGGGCAGAGTTTAAAGAAAAATCAAAAGGCAAAACAAATGAGTCAGCAAAGGAACTCACTGTCACTGTCCTGCTGTTCCAGGCAGCCCCCTCCCAGGTGTTGTCACCAGTAAGGCCTCTCACCTTCCCTCCTCCACCTCTTGGGAGGGAGTGTTAAGCAGAACCCTCCTAGGCAACTTGATCCTTTTTTCTTCCGCCACCCAACCCAAACACTGTTCTTCCCAGGCCCTCCTCCATGCAATGGACACTGTGAAACTCCTCAGCCAGCTACTGGAGAGCGTCTGGTTTCCTCACTAGCACCCTGCTGCTCTGGGGGACTGATGGAAGAGCAAAGGCTGGGTACACAGCTTGTGGGGGAGCTTGTTTCGGATGCTGACAGAGGAGTAGGAGGTGAGGAGCAACAGAGAAGGGAGGGAGAGAGGCCAGGGAAATGGGGATGAGGGTTAACAAGAGAGGTCTATGGGGGGAAGGGAGAGCTGGGAGGGGAGTTCAGTGGGTTGGCAGAGAGTCTTGAAGAACAAGTCAAGAGAGGAGATGGAGAAGGAAGGTGAGGGATCCCCATGGAATGGGACAGGATGGATCTGGGGTGGATGTGGTTGAGGGTAAAAACACATGCATGGCCCTGTGCAACAACCGGCCAGTGGGTCAAAAATGGACAGCAGAGACAAGTGGCCCTGGAGGATCAAACCCCAGACAGTGAGTGATACAGTCCTGTGTGAGTTGTGCCCGGGGTCTACCTCTCTCCTACCCTTACCTCACCACGCCAATCAAGTCTCTTGACCTGAGGCGAGAGCCCCAAAGCGTGAGCGTGAAAGGGGTGGGGGAGGCTCACCTGTCGACAGAGACAGCTGCCAGGGTGAAGCTGCTGGCGTACATGGTGAGATAGATGAGGAAGTGCACGGCCTTGCAGGCGAAGCGGCCGAAGAGCCACCCGTCCAGCGTGTAGATGGTGGCCTGGAAGGGGACGCAGCAAATGATGAAGCACAGGTCTGCCATGGCCAGGTTGAGGATGAACAGGTTGGTGGTGTTGTACTTCACCTGTCCGTTGCGCAGCAGCACGGCCAGCACCAGCCCATTCCCCACTGTGCCCAGGAGGAAGATGAGAGAGAAGACGACGGGCACGATGATGCCTGCAGCACGCACCTCCAGGCTGTTGGAGGAGGCGTTCCAGCTCTCTGGCATCTCTCCATCCGACAGTGGGCCTGGAAAGGAGGGAAGAGAGAAGAACAGTAGGTCCTCTGTGCATCTCCAGTGTGTTCCTTGGGTCAAGAGGCCCAAGAGCACCTCTCAGTGGAGACTACAGCAACTGCTGTCCATACAGCTCCTTTTCACTCTCCCATAAGAGTTAGATAATGTTTGACCAGGGGCCACTTCAGAAATTTTTGAAATGACCCCAGGCTACCCCGAAGAGACGGGGCCTCAGGCAGAAGGGGGTGGGGCCAGGACATTTCTGTGCTTCCCCACTCTCAGATCCTGACTGGTCTGGGGGTGGGGGAGTGCGCAAAGTCTTTGTCATCCCCCACCCCCAGAGAATTGCCAGCTGTTCGGAACAGCTGGCAGTTCCTTCTACATACCTGTGCCCCTGGCAATGGGAGGAGACTTTGCCTGCTCCCCACTGGTGCCCCAAGGTCAGTCAGGACCTGGGGAGGGGGAGCACGTGAAGTCTCTCGCTCCCTGCTCCTACCCTGCAAGGAAGCGCCCCGCTTAGAGTCAACTGCCAGCTCAGCAGCTGTTGGCGGTTGACTTTAAGTGCCGAACCCCTTGGCAAGGTGGGAGGAGACTTCATGTGCTCCCCTCGCCCCAAGCCCTGATTGGCCCTGGGAACAGGGGGAGCGTGCGAAGTCTTCTCCCACCCTGTCCCCATCCTGCAAGGAGCATGCGGTGCTTAGAAGTGCTGCACCCTTCACAGGGTGGGAGGGGACTTTGCACACCAACCCCTGCCTCCAGGCCAATTGACCTGGGGGCAGGGGAGCGGCAGGGCCTCCATGGGCTGGATCAACTTGCTTGGCGTACCAGATCTGGCCTGCAGAGGCCCTTTTGCCCACCCCGGCCTACCTGCAGAGAACGCCCCTTGTGATGTGCCAGCAAGGTGAACCCATGAGTGTGTCAGTGAGAGGTTCCGTGTGCTGGTGTGTAAAGGAGCCATGGTGGCTTTAGGTCTATGCAACAGCATAGATTCCTGCCCTTCCAGAGGGTCCCACTTCTCACTCGCACTGACCCATCATCCCAGGCTGCATCCATGGTCCCCTGTCCGTGGTCCTGTTTGAGTCTGGCACCCAAAGGCTCTCGCAGGGGGTGAACTTCCTAACAGTCTTCCTACCAGAGCTCGGAAAACTGCATTTTGGCTCCATCTCCTGGGCCCTACAAGTGAGAGTCCCCAGAAACCTCACTCAGAGGTGAGAGGGATTTGCCACAGCCTGAGGGGTCATAAGCAGGAAGAGGTGTCTGGTGGGGTGCTGTGGGTACAGGGAGCTGGGGGCTTGAACCTGAGTGGGGCAAAAGCTGTCACTTCACACAGAGCTCCCCAAAACCAAGGGCCAGCTCTGGTGTGAACGAACACTTGTCCAGTGAAACCCCAGTGAGGTGTCTGGGGTGCAATAGTGTTTGAAGTGAGGCTGCAGTACATTTGCTGGCCACTAAGAATCGAACTCCAGCCCTGCTATCACATCAGAACAACGCAGTGGGTCATAACCTTTGACTCCATGCTCAACTACGAACAAGATCTTTTGCTGATGCCCTTGTAGGCCCTGATATCCGATCTCCTGCGATACGTCAGCATGCAATAAGCTGATTTAATGATGAAATCAAGAGATGTAAAGTCCCTTCATCCACTGTGATGTAATTGGCTGAACCTCTATTAGGATCAGCCTGTCAGGATTTGCTTGGCTTTTGGTCCCCACAGGGACCTTAGCTGTACTGAATCCAACACATCCTACTCCACCAGCCAACGCTGCATGGTGCAAGTACCAGCGTTGGCACTCCCCTCTGCCAGGCACCACTTGACTCTCTTTACTCCATTACATTCCCAAAGCTGCTAAACCTCTTGGGATTTCTTGAAGTTTTAATCTCAGCTTTCCTTTGACAGGGCTCAGCAGAGGCCCCCAATGAGGGAGGAGGCAACCCTTAGGAGTAGAGGGAGGAACTCTGCACCTTCTATCTCCACAGCATCACCTAACCAGGTCTGATAGCAGGGTACAGATGTGATCTCCTCACCCCAGAAAAGATATTTTGGCCTTGGAAAGGGTTCCGAAAAGGGCAACTAAAATGATTAGGGGTTTGAAACGGGTCCCATATGAGGAGAGGTTAAAACGACTGGGACTTTTCAATTTAGAAAAGAGGAGACTAAGGGGGGATATGATAGAGGCCTATAAAATCATGAGTGGGGTGGAGAGGGCCGATAAAGAAAAGTTATTTATTAGTTCCCTAAATAGAAGAACTAGAGGACACCAAATGAAATTAATGGGTAGCAGGTTTAAAACTAATAAAAGAAAGTTCTTCACACAGCGTGTAGTCAACCTGTGGAACTCCTTGCCAGAGGAGGCTGTGAAGGCTAGGACTATAATAGAGTTTAAAGAGAAACTAGATAATTTCATGGAGGTTAGGCCCATAAAAGGCTATTAGCCAGGGGATAAAATGGTGTCCTTGGACTCTGTTTGTCAGAGGCTGGAGAGGGATGGCAGGAGACAAATCGCTTGATCATTGTCTTCGGTCCCCCCTCTCTGGGGCACCTGGTGCTGGCCACTGTCGGCAGACAGGATACTGGGCTAGATGAACCTTTGGTCTGACCCAATACGGCCGTTCTTATATTCTTATGTTTATGTAGATCTCCTAGGCTGAAGGATTGATTCTACCATCTAAGTTAGGAGGGACAGAGTCAGCCCTGCCTTACAAGAGTAAACCAGCATACATGGCCCCAGTGTTCTCCAGCCCACTCCCTCTACTCTGTCCCACACCAGAAAGGGGCTAGCGCTCTGTCTTTCAACCCAGTGTCCCAGTTGTTCCATACAGGAGAGGGGCCAGCTCTTAGCAATCACTCAATGTCCCACACCAGGGAATGGCTGCCTCTTGCCAATGTTTGAAGAAATAAGAGGTCCAGGGATGAATCAGTAAAACTACTAGTTTTGTCCAATGGACAAAGCCCAGACCTCAGCATATTCTTGTCTCTTGACCTTGAGCAAATCAGTGCCCTCTCTGTGCCCATTTCTCATCCTTCCACCCTTTGTCTGGCTTGTCAATCTAGATTGTGAGCTCTCTGGAGCAGAGACTGTCTCTCTGTGTGTTTATATAGCAAGGATGTGAAAATGTGTGTAATTAAGGAATGGTGTAACCATTGAAAATTTCAAGCAGTTACATGCAGGGCAGCAGGCAGATCCCTGGAAGCCAGTGCATGCCTAAAGACGACTTTTAAGACAGCTCCCCATGCTTACTGGGAACCTGCATGTAACTGTCAATGTTAACCAATGAGCCTAGCCTCACTGTTTAATTGTTTACACAGTTACACTTCCACACCCTTATAGCCCCCTTAGCTTACCAGGTGATGCTTACTGAGTAATAGTTAATAGGCTCTGTGAGAGCAGCCCCCCCCTGCAGGGCCTGTTGCAGACAGAGGACTGCTCCAGCCCCACCAGGCCCCCGCACAGGGTTGCCAGCTGGCAACCCACCCTGCATGGCTGGAGCTGTCCCCCACCTGAGATCCCACTTAGTCGGTTAACCAGTTAAACATTAGGTTATCCTAACATTTAACCGGTTAACTGATTAATTGGGATTTTGCATCCCTACTCAAGCACTACCATAAATTAAAGTAATAATAATAAAGAAGCTCAGTTTAACTATACACAAGCAGGGAACTGAAGTACAGGCAGTCCCCAGGTTACGTACAAGATAGGGACTGTAGGTTTGTTCTTAAGTTGAATCTGTATGTAAGTCGGAACTGGCGTCCAGATTCAGCCGCTGCTGAAACTGATCAGTTTCAACACGGGGGGGCAAAGCAGAGCCAAGCCGCGGAGCGCGTGGGCAGCGGATAACCCTGTCCGCTGCCCGCGGG